AAGCCCACAACCAATAATCAGTCTGTGGATCTGTGCTTGAGACTCTGGGAATGGCCTCTTGCAACCCTCTTGAGGGTGCTACTGCCTCCTACCCCCACCCTGAACACAATCCTCCTCACTTAGTGTAAGTCCTGAATCCTTGGGATCGCCCATACACTCCAATCTGCTATAAATACATGGAGGATTCTTTGTATTCCAGAGCAGGAGTTAGGGGGTGGCAGACCCCCTAGAAGGGTCACAGAACCTACTTTGTACATTTCTTTGATATTATTCAAAGTGATACCTAACATTGAAACCAAAGAATCTGACCTTGCCATCTGATAGACCATAACATTCAAAGACTCTGTTCTTTTATAACATTTCCTTTATGAATTAACCTATTCGCCCCAGATTTATGTTCTGTCCCCTGTAGTTTAAGGTGAATTTTGTTACAAACAGATTGCTCCACATGTGCTCAGCTGGCAAGGACTCTATCAGTAGGCCCTAGTTACTGTTCCTGATTTTCCCATTCCTTAAATTGGCAGGAAAATATTTTTCTTGTTAATACCATTGCTATCGATACTGTTATTATTGTTACTGATGTTATGATTATTAAATTGTCATTAAAATATTTTAGACAATGAAATGATACAAAAGACCCTTTCCTAAAGTGAAGGAAAAGGGTAAAAAGATGAGATAGGTAGTTCTGACAACTGGCTATTTGGTGATTAAAAACTTGTAGAGACATCTATGCGTATATACAATAAATAAACGTGTATTACAGTGGGCATGGCATGTATTCTTGCCACATGAGGCGAATGGGTTAATAACGCAGGTAGTAAAGAGGATGTAAAACACAGAATGTGCAAGTGTTCCACAATATGTAATTTTCCAACATTAAGAGATAATTATGCAATATTGAGAAAGCAACAAAATAATCAGACAGAACTTGTGCAGATGACACAAGCAAACAAAATCTAAGCCAATATGAATTGAATGTGGCCATGACATGACAACTAACACGAGCAACCAGTCTCTTAGAGCCAATTAGACCTGTAAAGAAAAATCAAATGACATCAGAAGCTAGACCCAAGTTGAAATGTTGAAATTGAAGTCAGTTCTATCATGGTTAAGCTGTGCATAAGGAAAACTGTTTTACTCTCATATGCAAAATATCTTGGAAAAAAACAGAAAAAAGCGACAAATTATGGTCACAATGCTCTCTAACAGGGGCAAGCAGGATCCTGACTTGTGGCCATGCTGGATTTATTGGCCAAGGCAAGAAATTACTGGAATGAGATCCAAATATCTGCCCAGGCTCTATCCTGCCAGAACATGAGTAAGAATTTGAAGACCAGGAGGGGGGGAGGGGGGTGATAGCCCAAACCTGTAATGAGTTATATGAATGTGTATCACAATGGTTAAATTACTAAAAGGTTTACTTATATCATTCCCTTTTACCCTACCAAACATACAATGCCCTCTACAGCTATTACGGTATTGTTCTTTGTTTGTGATGGGAATGAGCTAGATTCGTTCAACATATGACCAAAGCTATAAGAAATTGATGGTAAGTGTTATATCCAAATAAACCATTTCTTTCATAGGTTAATGTTACCGACAGAGATAGAGGGAAACAGGCACTGCCCTTTTATAGAGCATAAAAAAATACAGACATCAGCAACATAGGTACTCCTGCACCCTCTCATATTTACCAAGAAATGACAAATATATCTGGTGCATATTGCCACTCAGAGCCTAAGTCCTAAGGTTTTTGTAATGCAGTAAGTGCTAATAAAGGGGAGGTTGCCCCCCTATCTAGGGTATAAATAGAAGGTAGGAATGATTGGGTTTGAATTTTGGGTTCACATGATACCATGGTTTTGGGACTTCATCTCTGGAAGGTGAATCGCTCTCAGTAACAAATACCCTTTTACATTCTACCCTACAATATACCATGTAACCTGCATGCCTTACCCTACTGTTGGAGCTAAGTTGGTGCCACTTTTGCCTGCCTACTTAAAAACATTTGTACACAGTCTTACTTGAGTTGGGTTGAAGTCTAGGATGCTGTAATATCAATGCATAAAATTCTAAGGAATAGTTTGATGCACCTGACCTACAAGCGCTTTTTCAAATTAAAAAATAAATAAATAAATAAAACTCACTACAGTAGGCCCGTATTCTTCATCCCTATTCACAATGGCTCAGCATTTTTATCAAGTGGCCAGTTTTTCCCAGTGACTTCAAGATGAAAACAGGAATTTAAATATAAGACCAAAAATTACGTCGAAATTCAAATAAAGCCGAAAACATGACACGAGATTGGCTTTGAAAATCTCACCATCTATAACAGCCTCCTTCATACACCTTCAGCGTGAAGTTTGACGGTACTTCATGGTTGTACGGCAAGAGGACCCGAGGAGCATTCAATCTGGAAGCCTGCAGTGCAACAATGCAACACAGTAAGACACATAATTGCAATATTTTTCGGGCCGACATCAACACTTCACCCGCCATGCTCTTGCAGTTAGGGCGCTTAGTCTCCAGATTGCGCTATCGGTTTTTTTTTCTTTGCGTCTCTATTTTGTTTATTTTGTTCCAAGAGGCCTTTTATAATATCCGATAGATATGACAACATATTATTTATCATGGTTTTAAAAGGTGGATAGATACAGTAAGTATACCGGTGCGTCTTTATTTTAGGCAAATAGGTATGTGGTAGTAGAATTAACCAAATAAACAATATTAATAATTCTAAAAACACTTTTATATAATTACATAATTTTATATAATTATGTTTATGTCTCTTATATTCCTAGACTAATTAGGCGAAATCTTTTATAAATCCGCCACAAATTTGGCAATGTTTCCTCGTTCAGACAAACCGGTTTTTCCAACAGCAAATGTACACCCTTTATTTTAATGAAACCGACTTTTCATCTATCATTTTCGACTCTTATTACTTTCCCGTTTCTACTCAGTATCAAGATAATGATCATGATATATCAGAAATGTGACGCAATCCTACAAACGTTCCATTCCATTAGGGAACGAATCATTGACTCTTCAAGTAAACAGCACCCGGCATCGCATTTCCCGCCGAGGAATTCGAACAAATCATTCAAAAACCGGCAATAAATAAACATGAAAATGCAAAATACTTTCTTTTCATACAGTTTATATTGACATTATTATCTTTATTAGTATTTTAGGCTCATTATATATGAATCGTGATAGATTCAAAAACCGACAATAAATAAACATGAAAATGCAAAATACTTTCTTTTCCTACAGTTTATATTGACATTATTATCTTTATAAGTATTTTAGGCTCACTATATATGAATCGTGATAAATATGATAAGAACATTCAATTTCTTTTATTTCTTTTATTTCATCGACTGCGTAGGAACGTATGACACCAAAGATGAATTTACAAAGAAAGTATGCAAAACTAACGCTACAGCAACAATTTCCCTGAACTCTAATAATAAAAGAACAGATAAAAAAAAAATTAAAGTATATGTGATAGGAATAAAAAGATATCAAAATTCCATTTTTTCCCAGGTTCCCTTCACCCCTTTTTCGTTTTATATTCCTTAATCCTTTATTATCCATCTTTAACATTTTTATTACTTCGTTTCTGTATTTCATGTCTGAGTCATATATATCCCCGTGTGCACCGTAATGGTAAAGTGTAAGCTGGTATACCGGTTTGAGGTTCAGGGTCATGGTGGATAAACTAGAAAATGGCCTGGCGTAAATAGATATATGAATAATTTTAGTACTACACGTATCTATAATATGGGTAATTCTATTACTTGCAGCAATAGATGAATGTGAAGATCAGTAACAATTATATTGATAAGGTTGTAAGAATAATAATCATGAAAGTATTAATAATGATGGTGATAATGGGGATAACAATTACGTTAATAAACATTATAAGGAACAGTAACAATGATTATATAATTACAACAGTCATATTGATGATGATACTTTTGGCGGTAGGACTGAGGAAATACATTTTAGGAATCATAATGTGTTAAGAACAAACACGACAAGATTAATGTTTATAGAGATACTATCATCACTTATGATAAAGATAATGATGATGATAAGAATGATAAGTGATTATTACAACTGTGCTAAAAAGTAGTGATACTTATGTTGACATTTGCAATACTACTGATGATAATGATAATATCAGCGGTATTGATAACGTGTCGAAGTAATGAAATTAGTTATGTCAGTGATGGGAATGATGAGGATAATAATATTGATGATAATGATGATAATAATGATAATGATAATATTGATAATGATAATATTGATTATTGCAAGGATAATAATAATTACGGTGGCAATGATAAAAAACAATAATAATAATATTGATAACAGGAGTAATTACAGTACAAAAATAATGATAATAGTAAAAACAATGATAATGAAAATAATTGATATAATGATAATGATAATAACAATAATAGTAATAGTATCAATGTTAATAATCATATTTGTGATAATAATGATAACAATAATAATAATAACAATAATGATAACAATGATAATAACAATAACAATAACAATAATGATAATAATAATAGTGATACGATAATAATTATGAAAATAACTAAGGAATCTTTACACAGGTAGACCCATTCCATCCCGATGAAAATCCAAGTTGGCACCATCCGAGATAAGCGCCGCCTCATCACCTTTATTCATTGCAAATATTTTTTTTTCAATATTTTTTACTACTGTTATTACAGAACTCTTTCAAAAGAAAATGCACTAAGCTAACACTCAGCATAAAATATCGCACAAATTATTAGGGTTAAATAAAAGGACGGAACTAGTGATGTCACCACGGTAGCCAATGATACTGCACCGTTTGATATCAGATATAGCTAGATACATAATTATTTGTATGATTTACCCGATGTTATGTTTACCAGATGTAAAACTACAAAATTTTTCTTTCCACTAACAGCCATCAGAATACTCTTGAGCAAAAGTCTGTTTCATTTTCGGGTTCAACAGGCTAATTAAAAGTGAACCTACTTGACTATATGTACCTTGAAAATAGCAATAACAATAATACTTATAATAATGATGATAATGACAATAGAAATGATGATGATAATGACAATAGAAATGATAATGATAATAACAATGATAATATTAGTAATAATGATGATAAGGATAATATAACTGATAAGGATAACAATAATAATAAAAATGATATTACAGATTTTAATAATATCATTATTATTAATATCTATTATCATTATTATAGTAATGAAAATAATAATGATAATAGTAAAGAAAACCCTAAGGATAACAAAAATAATAACAATAATGATGATCATAATAATAATAATGAAAACCATAATGATAATAATGACGATTATAATAAAGATTATAACAATAATAATGATAATGATAATAACAATAATGATAATTGTATCAATATTAATAATAATGATAATGATAGTAATAACAATAAAGATGATTACAATAACATAACAAAGATGACTGTAATACTAATGATACTACTAATAATAATGATAATCATGATAATAATAATTATTATTAATAGTTAATGTTAATCTAATAATTATTAATAGTGATGATAATGATATCAATAATAGTAATAATGATAAATGATATAATAATAATAATAATAATAATAATAATAATAATGATAAAAATAATAACAATAGTAATAAAAATGATGATGATAATGATAATAATAACAATGATAATGATAGTAATAATAATAGTAATAACAGTAGTAACAGTTACAACAAATGATGATATTAACAGCGGCAGCGGCAGTTTCCCCTGTTTGCGCCCGGCTCGTTCAGTAGTTTGCGGACAACATTAGGCTCCTTGATATCATAACAAAGAGTGGAGGTTTCCCTTCATTGTAGGCGCCATTGTCTGAACGTTTCACCATGCAAAGGATGCCGCTTTATTGGAGAAAAACAAACTCCGACCGATGAGCCGATGCCACATCAGTCATGGCATATCATGTCATCGGCATCCAATGGAATGTCTAATGTTATTTGGAAAATATGCAAAATGACAAGAATAATGAGAATGATCATGTTGCAAATGATAATGATAATAATGATAAGGATAACGTAATCATAATGATTGCAATGATAAGGATAATGATAAAAAATAATGGTTATAATGGTAATGATAAAAATGATAATAGTAACAATGGCAATGATAATAATGAACAATGATAATTACAGAAAATATTGATGATAATGATAAAGATGATAATAGAAAATAGTAATAACAATAACAGATAATAATGATAGTAATAAGGATGATGATAATAACCATAATAACACCATTGCAATAATGATTAAAATACAAATAAAATATATTATTTCAACTTGTAATACCATTAACATCCACAGCATTAATAGAATATATATTTGCTGTTGTCAGTACTGTTCATTCTTATTTCTCATATTTATATTATTAATGCATCTGTCCCGCCGTTTTATTATTATCATTAGCAGCCATAAAATTAACATTATAATAACTATCACTGTCACTTTGCAGTATTTTTCTCACTGCCAACAACTTCATTATAATCATTCATCGCAATCATGACAATCGCCAGTATCACTATCTTCGTTGCCAAGTGTCAGCGAGCATGAATTGGCCGCTCCTATTTGGCAGATATAACAAAATAGGAAACCCTTTGGAAACTTTTTTTCTTGGAAGTGTTTTGACTTTCAGATGAATGAGCATGTGTTTCGGAAACGGGATTCTTAGTCAAGATAATGAAATCAAGGCTTTATCCTTTTTTTTTTTACTAAAGGAAATTTTCGAAAGTCGGGACTTTCTGTCCCAACTTTTATGGAGCAATGCTACGGCAATGTTAGTAACATGCGTCAATTGCTGTTCTTTTCATTCATCAATGATATGTAAAAAAATAGTTCCCTTTGCAATATCTCAAAGGATTTTCCAAAGCATACTCTTAATCAAGGTTTCACACCTCAGCTACACATGAATGAATGTTCAGACTCACTCTTATCAGCCGATAGCTGCATGCGAGTACAATATTCATTCATGATTTAAGAACACTGATGTAATATACTATTAAGTTACTTGCTATTATCTCTTATCCTGACAGAAATACAACCTCGATTAAACGAATTCACTGAATTGACAAATATACCTGTTTACTCTATCTACATATGAGCGTTTCCTTAGGCAAGACTCTCGACATCGTTTGAAATTCTGATAAGGTGTCGTAACTTTCGTAGCATATGTTGTCTCAAGCTCGATAAAAGAACCACAGGAAGTTCGACACAGAGGAAGCGACGGCGATATCGCCCGCTGGAGCTGTGACTCAGAAACTCAGACCTTCCCTCCGTTCAGCGCCAGAGTCTCCCGCGGAAGGATGTGTAGAGGAGGGCGGACCGGACGCTGTACCTCAAGTTCTTGTGGTTATGAAGGCGCTCACAGGACATGACGAACGCAGCGGCG